TACACGGCTGGCTGCCTGTGCCGGGACGTGGCGGAGGACAAGGGGGTGCAGTTCGGCAAGCAGAGCGTGGCCGCCGTCGCCGAGATCACCTTCAGGCAGTGCGGTACGGAACCGCGCGTCTTCGCTGTTGCATGAAGGGTGGCTGCGGGAGAAGCCGTGCTTGAAAAAATACCGCACGGGAACTGGGTATCACTGGTGCGTGGTTTCTTGCGTTACATTTTTTAAAGTACAAGAAACGGTGATTCTATTTTTCAGACCTGGAAAAAGCGTTTAAATATATGTGGAAATATTGTGAGCCACCTGCCAGTGCAGCAGAGGGGCACGCAGTAACAAGTGATGGTCGCTTCTCGTAACTAACTCGGATAACCTGCCGTGAAGCCTGTGTAACAGCTAGAACCGTGTCATGTATCTCTTCCCGCTCAGTTTTAGCGTTCTAAAATATGTGGTGTCTTTGTGTTTCCTCCAGAGAACTTTGCAAGAGATCTCGAAATGTTTGCAAGGTAGGTACTGGAACACTTGGTTGTTACAAATGCTTTCCTTTCTGTATTCGGCTATAATAAATAGATAAATCTTTAAAATATATCTTGTATTTCCAGTTTTAAAGGGTTCTATTGTCTGCTGAAATACTGGCTGTGAAGTTAGGAAATAGATACTCCCACATAGGTTCTTCCTGATCTTGGAAGTTCATTTACGTGGTACAAGTGATTGTTTAGATCAATGTCTGTGTATAATTGTAAAATGCGTCGGTACATAGCAGTCCTGCGTGGTCTGGGAGTGAGAGATGCTTGCCAGCATGCCTGTTCCATCTGGTTGCTCAGAGGAGGTAAGGGAATGTTTTGAGGAGTCAAAACGTAACACCGTGACCTGGCAAGTAAGAGCAAACGGAACAGTGGTGCTTGAAGTTCTGGTTGCTAAATTCTACTGGTTTTACACAAGAAGTGTGGGAATTTAGATGCACACATACCAACTTGTAAAATAGGTTTTTATGTATTATAGCTGGAAAAGATAGGCATGTTGGGTTTACTGGGTCCCTATTAAGCCATTTTAGTTAGTGTTCTGAATTATATGCTCTACAGCCTCTTACAAGCAGTGTTGGCAAACATATTAAGGGGGCTGTTTTTTAATTTTATGCAGGCATGCAAAACGAAGCACAGTCACTACAGAAGATGTGAAGCTTTTGGCGAGAAGGAGCAATTCTTTGGTAAGATTCACTGCATTTTCTGTCTCACAGCATTCTTAAATTGGTTAATTACTAAAAGTGTTTGAATGAAGGCTATAGATGATGAAGCAACTGTTGCTTAAGCAGTTTCACTGGCTAATAGATGATCGATGGGCACAATCCAGTGGTTTTTTAAATTTTCATCTTATTTTGCTTCATGTGATGCTGTGTCTCACTGTGGGAATAGAGATCTGATTGCAATTCAAGCAGCAATATTCTGGTTGCAGCAGGGCTGCTCAGTTTCCAAGCACAAAAGCGCAATAAACAGTCACATTACAACATTGTCAATCTTGGAATAAATCACTGGTTTTTCCCTGATGTGGTGTTCCTTCGTTTTAGCCTGAGGTCGGGAATAGCTTGAGTCCACCCTGAGGCGCCAAGTCTCCTAACGTTAACATAGGGATGATTCACGTTACTGTATTCTCTCATGTGCTGATCTGTATGATGGTCAGGGGACAGAAATTCCCTGATGTGTTGACATACCTGTAAGTGCTTCCATGAAGAAGAATACTTCCAATACCAATTTTTATTTTATGTGAGGGGGTGTTTTCCTTCAGTCTGTGATTTGAAATATGCAGCATGAACTTGCTTGAGAAGGCATAGTAAATGCTGGAGCTGAATTTTGTTTTCCTATTGTGTGCTGTTTATGTAAAGTGGGTGCAGAGGAATCTTGCAAAGTTTCTGTACTCTGATTATATCTCGGTAAACTACAACTCTGAGTAACTGCTGATATTGCTGTCTTGGTTCTAGAGAGAGATGTAACATCGATTTATAAATCCTAGTCTTGCCAGGGCATTTCAGTATCTGAGGGTACCTAGCTTAGACTGAGGGCTTTGTGCAAGAATTAAAACTAGTTGATATTTGTCAGCCTTTTTGGAGTATCTGTTGTCTTTTTTTATAATCAGAATTTGCCCTGTTAATTTCTCTTAAACATTTCTCTCTAATTTCTCATGAATAAATGAAGTTCCTCAGTAGATGACCGATTAGTTTATTTTTCTCAGCTAAAGTACATCACCCAGAAGAGTGAAGAGCTCACATGGAGTAACATGGAGCAAAAGGAGAAGAAGAAAAAGAAGTCCAGTGCAGCTAAGGGAGGGAGAACTTCTGGGGAACAAGCAGCAGCTGTGACAGAAAGTGAAGATTCCAACATGGCATGATTTACCTTTCAAGTAATGTCTCTGGTCATTTTCTCTCCTTATCCTCGAGGAACCCGAGTTAGCCTATTAGAGACTCCTCTTGCAGGTCCGCAACAGTAATGAAGCTTTAGGTTTTTAGGTGAATGTGATTAGCTGGAATTTTTTTTTTCTTTTTTTCCAAAAAATGAAAGGTCTGTCAGAATTCAGTAAAGGTTACAGCCAAAATGCCTTAATTGCTCACAAAAAGTTATCTTACTGTTATTAAAAAGAAAATCCTGTAAATAAAGTGTTTAAAGCAGAGCATTCTCACTGACCATAATAGCTCAGTATGTGCAACTCCCTCCATGCTGCTACTTAGTTTTTCCAGTAGTTGTTTGACTTGCTCCTTGCTTCCATTTTTGACACTTTTGCTTAGGTATTTTGAGTATTTTATTTTTGTTCTAGCCACATCTATCACTTGTTGTCTTGACAGTTAAAAGATGCTTTGTGTCATTTTTCACCTGTGATACTGCTGGTGCACAATATTCACTTTCAATAAATTGTATTACATTTCTAAACTTTTGTAATGTGGCTCCGGAGCAGTGGCCAGAAATGTTATCACCATTGCCCTCTCCTGGACTGACAGAGGTTTACCAAATGCTGTTGATGCGAAAAAATCAGATTTAAAGACATAAGGTATTAGACCGATATAGCCAAGTGAAATGAGAAGGCTGCTTCAACTACTGCGTGGGCAAACTTTATCAAGCACACATATGCTTGCCAAGCATAGTTTAAAATATGCAGTAAGAGAGGAAAGACTTGAACACTGTTTCTCGTGCTCAGCCTTTAATTGTGAGCCAAGCTTTTCTTGAAGCCACTTGTTTCTTCCTGAAGGGTACAGCTTAGGGCAATTCCCCAAAACCAAGTTTAAAATCATCAGGTTCTCATTTTAGTAAGACTCATACCTTAAACACTACCCCAAGATAAAGAAGGTACCAGATGACATAATATTTTTGATCACCCATGAGGACTTCTAGGTGCAGCCTTGTTCCTTGTTTGAAACCTTTCTCTTGAAAGCAGAGTGCACTTTCTGGACTAGAGTCACTCATGACACAATGGAAAAAGAGTAATGCTCTGGACTGCTTACATGTGCTCCCTTTTATTCTTGCTCTGTATTTCAGCTATTAAGCAGCAGTGGATAGGGAAAAAAAACCCATCCCTTTTGTAGGCTGTAACTGTCCAATATTGATCAAAAAAAATCAAGTGCTGCAGTGTAGAAGAAAATAGGAATGGCATGAATCCCTGTCTCTGGCTTTACATGGGACATTTTACACAATGACACTTAAATACCCTCCCTTTCCCCTATCCCAAACTGTTCCACTTTCAGGGATGAGATATCTTTTGGAAGAATTCTTCTACTGACTGATGTAGGCTAGGTAGGTAAGAAACTAGCAATTCTGTAATCAACAGGAAATCTGTCCTCTTGGCATACCAGTGCTTACGTGACTCAGTTTTCGTATTGGTGTGTGGGGGGTTTTTTTATGCCACTACATATTACTTGCTTTCTAGAAGTTCATCAGAGTTTACCTTAATGTGGCCTGGTCATCAACTCAATCCAGCAGGAGATGCAAAAGGTTTTCTTGGTGCTTTAAGGGAGAAATCATTAATGCAGCGTTGAAGACCAGTAATTGAGGATACTCGTTCATGGCAAATGGCATTCACTCTTACAAGGTGGAATCTCTGTTACAAGGTGGTTTGTCTACTTGAAGGTGTTAATGATAAACTTTTAGAACATCAAAGCCTTGAGTTAATTTTTTACCCTGGAAAAAGTGTAATGGCAGCCACCCTAGGATTTGACACACATTCTGGCTATGTTTTAGACCTTCCATACTGTATTCCTCCCTCTTGAACACCTCTACAAAATCCATCCTCACCAATCGTGGGCAGCTCAGTCACGTGGTTCAAAAGTTAAAGCTTCTTAAATATTACAGGAATCAGGAATAAGATCAAGGAAATGCTAATTTTTGCATAGTTGAAGTGTCTGTGCAGCTCAAATAAGCTTAAGTGAATCAAACATACTTCATGTCTACAAGATGTAGATCTAATTTAAGGTTAAATTAGATTACAGAGCATGTTTTAGGTGGACAGTTTCTCCTGACTTGGATAGGTAAGGTAAGCAAAAAATGATCAAGTATCTTGCTCTTCTCCACTGTTCTGTCTCTAAAGGAGCAACTTCTGCAGGGATCTGGTTATCAGGACATGGCAGTTCTGTTTGATTCGCTTCTTTCATTTATCCTGTTCCTTTCTTCAGTAGGAAATTGATTTCACAGGACTCCTAGGTGTTTAGAAGCATCAAGCATTTTGATGTCGTAGGAGCTGTCTTTCAAGAGGAAGGCCACCTGGATGTTTATTACACAGGCTACCTGATTTTTTCTTTTTTTTTGTCTCTCTGAGGTCATTAAGCCCAACATGTCAGGAAGAAAAATAACATGTCTCCAAGTTTGTTAGCTCTGATGTTGTCTGTCATCCTCAGCTAAAATCCCCTGTTACTGCCTCTCCAAACACACATGGGTATACACTACTGGTATACAGAAGGTGATGGCCAATGGCTACAGGTTGTTTACTGAAAAGCTCTGTGATTATTTGCTGGGGAAATATTAGATCTGGCAGCAGCTCTTTGCTATCCCCAACAGGAAATTCTAGCTATGAACCAACTTTCAGAATATAATGATCCAAAGATCTATAGTAAATTCTATACAAAAAAAAAAAAATCAAGTTAGACCTGTTAGGTTTAAAAATCTCATTAAATGGAGATGTTTTAGCAGTTTTCATCTTTGTTTGATTGCACTACTGAAAGAGATCCATGAAGCAATACATAAACTTCACCACTAAAAAAGGATTTTTTTATAGATATTACAGGATGATATGCAGTAGTTAATTGCTTCTCATTCTCTTAATCTTAGTCAGTAGCTAATTGCTTCTCCTTCTTCACAGAGACTTTTGAAGGATGCTGACTATAATGGAGCTTTAAAGAGAGTTAAGTATTATATACCTGCTTTTTTGCCAATAATAGTCAATATTACTATTAAACTGCCAGCTCAGCTTTAGGATAGAGTAGAGCTGCACTCCCATGAGATTATGAAAATCTGATAGTTTTGTCTTAATTGTCTTGTTCTAACCTAACAAACAGTTTAAATCATACTATGCTAGGTCTAGTTGATAATTTGAATTCTGTAACATAAGAACTGCAGCATGTAGTAATTTACAGGCAACTAAAAGGCTATAACCTTGGTAACAGAAAAGAGGGAAAAGCAGCAATGAAAAGCCTCCATTTGTTTTTTTCCTTAAGGCTACATTGGAAGGACCATCACTGCATTCCTACAGGAATGATCAGCATGGTCTCTGTGATTCTGTCTCAGTGTTTGCCTGGAAGTAGGCGAGTTAAATATTCCTAATACACACAGGATTGAAGTAATTATGCTATCTGCTATTTTAAGTAGATGTAAAAAAGGCACAGGTCAAACCCTTCTTTCCTCTTGCACAACCTGAGGAGTAGAATTTCCATTGCCAAGTTGAGATTGAAAAAAAGCTAAAGTATTGCAGCTTTGAGCAAGACTGAAAAACTGGTTTATAATGGAGAGAGTGGTAGTCACAAGCTGAGACAGAAGCTCACAGAAAAAGCTTGCTGACAGCCCGTCTACTCAATGCACGCAATTTTAACTGGTAGCCAGTGTAATTAGCTTTCAGTGCAATACAGCATGCTTCAAAAATTCTCTGATGCGCAGCCATATATGCTATTTCAGAAAGACCTGAACATAAACAGCTTGTGGCTATTTAAAGCAGTAGGAAACCTTTTTACCTGCCATGGCCAGTAATGTTACAACCCAGAAGTGTATATTGTAAAAAGCAATTACCTGCCCTAGCTAAACAGACTGACCAAAAAGTTGACTGCAAGCTTCCTGCCGAAATCCTGACAGTTCCCATATGGGCAGCTTCTTCTGAAGTTACCTTAAGTATCTTCGCTTACCTGCTCAAAGGCACTAAACTGTTCAGAATATTTGTTAGTTACGCTGGCAGTCGAACGCTGAGTGCACCATAATTCACCTGGAATGTCTACATGCAATGGGTTCATCTGAATGCCTGCTGTGGGAGTACTCATCAGTTGGCATTCTGTAAAATTTAAGGTTATGTTAAATCAGAGGGTTTTGCCTGATACTAGAAAACATTTGTACCTGCTAAAACTTTCTCAGAAGTTTCAGCTCACTTTTCAGATTTTTTTTCATGTACATCTTCTGTTCTCACAAGAGCAGAACAGCAGTGCCAGGTGAGAGTTCTGGTGCAGCGTCACCAGTATGAACATGCATTCTACCTAAATGCTTTGGACAGGTTAAATACAGAGTGTTTCTGTATTTAATTTCTTCTTCCTCTGTCCTTAAGGTAATACTGTACTTAGCAGCACATTCTTTAATCATAGCAGCTGGTGGGAATATCAAAACTAGTCCAACAGTAAGGTTCAAAACGGTTTTAATATTAGAAAAAAAGACTAACAAATTTAAAAATAAGCCAGTTAATACAAAAGAATCATGATACTACACTAATGATTAGCAAAGTAATACGGACAGGCCAAATGCAAATCTTCTGCCCCACAGCCTTACAAAGCAAGTATTTCTACCTTCCAGGTTAGTGCTTATGCTGCAGCAAGAGGCAGGAGTTCTTTTCAGGAAAAGCACAGAAGTTAAAGGACTTGGATTTTACTTTAACTGATTAAATTAGCATGAGAATTCAAGTTCCTAGATCACAGGCTGGAGCTTAAAGCCAGACAGCACCTGACTAACCCCTCTGCCACCTTCATTAACTGTGCCTCAACGTGTCTTCCAGAGGTCTTCCATCCTTTACGTTAAAAATGGAGGGAGGACAAAGTAAGCAAACTGCCTGGGGCTTCAGAAGCTGGATCCATCATTATCAGATGGAAGCTTCTGGCTCTCAACCAGGTATTCAAAGCTGAAGCCTTACATGCTGTGTTTAGCAATACCATTGTTCTAGTATTCTGCAAAAAGTCAAAATCCCTTTGGTTACACATGATTTGAATCATCACAGGAGTTTAAGCCTCAGGACAATGTCCAGATTTTAGTTGTCTACAGCCAGACCACAGTATGACCAGCAAACTATGGCTCCCAGGATCTTTGCTTGTATTGACTCTAATGCCAAAAAAAAAAAAGATGCAAGCAGCACTAGTGTCTTATTTTTTGCGTTTTGAACTAAGCCAGTCTCCCCAGGGTAGCGTTTTCTTGCCCCTTGACGTGCTCCTTAGGGAATGCAAAGTCTGCACTTGTTGTAGACGCTTGGAGAGCTCCTGGTCACAGGCTTGCTGCAGAGCTTCAGCTTTCTGCTTGTCCCATCTCAGAGCCGAGGCCAGGGCTTGTGTGTCTTCTTTCAAGACGAGCTGTAGCAAGACAGATTTCTAACAGTCTTTTCTACTGATACTCCTCCACCACTAATCCCTTGCCCACATTAAGAACAGCAGTAATGCAACACCTGCTCAATACCGGCAGTTCGGTATTGAAGATGTTCCCAGCTTTCATCATCTGTCCTGTGGGCTAGAGTATCTGCAATATTCTAGCAATACTTGGAGCTCGAAGCTATATTCAGATGTTCAAAGGAACAGAAAGCAGTTACTTGGTACAGCAGGGAAAAGCAAAAGGAACAAGTTCATAGCATTAGAAAGAACACACTTTCTAATGGTTAAAGTTTGCCTAGACTTTCCAAACTGGGTTTATTTACACTGTTTTCCAAAACAGGGAGGTTTTCATTTTGGTTTGGGATGTATAAAAGAAATGTAGCTAGATGCATCTGCATACAAAAAAACCTTGCTGGTAAGACAGCTGAAGCACTGTATGACTTGGCAGAGATCAAAACCAAAATTATTTTGTGGCTTTTCAGAGGACAGACTAGAGTACTTGGAATAGTGTCGGCTGGCTACTGCCAAGCAGGGGGTAGTGTTACTGAGGAAGAGAAATACATTACATCTCACCACTTTGAGACTAAGGTATATTTACGTTACAGCCTGCAGAAGCAAGGACAGCTTCCCCTATGACCTCTCTCTCCAGAGGGAGAGATTTGCCAGACTGTGGTTGTATTATTCTCGCCCACCTCTAGATCTTGGCTGTCTAAGCAGAGCTCTGGCGCAGGTTTCTCCTTCAGAGCAGCAAGGATCTGCTCACTCAGCGCTGTTTTGGCTGAGGTGCCTGTACTGCTGGTACCCGTGTCAACCACATCCATCTCGTTTCCTGGTACAGCCTCAGGTTCTGAAAAGTAGCAGAATCATTACAGCCCGTGACACACGCAGAACAGGAAAAGTGGCCTGGGCTGCTTTGATGGTTTTCAAATTAATAAAATGTGCATTGTATCTAGGTGCATCCTCTAACTTAAGAAATGCATAGTGTTAAGGATGACTACATGCTTTAAGCTTTCTCCCAATATTCTACTTTTGGGCCATGTGGGAAATGTGACATAGCAGTGGGAGAACTCCTGGTCTCACCCAGTCAGAGAATTCTTACACTACACCAGCTATTACATCCACCACATTAACAGCTGCTAAGCGAGTGACTCACTCCAGTCCTTTACTCTGCCTTATTTATTCCACTCAACTATTTCAGGCATCTCTGAAAAACGCCTTCTCCAGCATCCTAATGCTCCCTACCTGCTACTTTCCTTAAGATACTGTCTTCATGTTTCAAGGCCTCTAGGTAGAGTTCCAGGAGCTGTCTTGACTGGCGTTCTTCTTCTCGTCTGTCCAGCACCTGCTGCAGGGTGTCCTGCAATACTTGGATTTTGGTTTCACTTTGGGCAAGTTCTTCTGCCAGGTCTGCACGTGGTACATCAATAAGCACCTTAAAGCAATGAGAGTGCTCCTGTTACAGGGACTGCCTGAGGAACTCACTCTGTTACGCGGATTACAGCACAAAGAGCAAGCTGCCTGAAGGACAGAGCCTCCACCTTCACGAAACCCAGCGTGTTTCACACGGTTCCTTGTCAGCCTAGGTACAAGAGGCTGTAGTGGCACTCCACCAGCCAGCATTCTTTACCAGAAACCAAAAGGCATCCAGGAAGGTGTGGAACCATGTGCATTTTTAACAGAAATCCCGACAAAGTACCACTTCTTAAGAGTGCATGGGAATACACAAAGGAAAACCAGTAGCACTTGGGAAGCTGCACACTGCAAGAGGATGAGAAGAGGCAGTTGTGACCATGCCTCACTACAGACAAGGGGTTAAACAGTCAGATACTTGAATTAATCAGCTCTGCAAACCGACTGCAGTTCTTCGAACCGC